AAAGACACTTGAAAGCCTTCAGCGTCATGACCGTCAAAGCTGTTCGGTACAAGGAATACTAAAAAAGACCCAAGGGGAAACTGAGGCATGGCTTATGTGGTAGAACACCAACTGTGAAGAACAGAGCTGACAGGAGTGCTAGGGTCTGAGTCAAGTGCAGTGACTCACACCTGTCATCCCAGCCTCTCAGGAGGCTGAGATCTGAGGATCACAGTTGGAGGCCAGCCTGGACAGGAAAGTCCCTGAGACTCTGACCTCCAGTGAACCACCTCAGGTCAGAAGTGGAGCTGTGGCTCAACGTGGCAGAGAGCCAGCCGTGAGTGACAGAGCTCAGGGACAGCGCCCAGGCCCTGAGTTCATGCCCCACGGCCAACAACAATAAATACAGCGGAATCCAATTCTAGATTTCAGAAGAAACACTGTCCTGAGGCTGAACAGAAGATGCACTGCTGTTCGAGGTTCAGCCATGACTGACGTGCTTTTCTATGTGCAGGACCTGGGGCTTGAACTCAGGGCCTCGCTCCTGAGCTCCTGTTTGCTGGTTCACTGGACATCAGATCCTCACCACCTGTCCTAGGAGGACTGACCTGGAGCTTCACCCTCACATCTCAGCCTCCTGAGTCGCTGGGATTACAGGAGTGAGCCACTGGTGCCTGGCAAGGAGTTAGCTTCTTACCCTCAGCAGATGAGGAGCAAGATAAATACCAAAAGACCCAAAAGTTCAGAGAGGCAGAAACTTGGTCATCGTTTTTTTATTCCTTTTGTGTGATCCAGAAGACACATGCTGACATCTAGATCCTTCCCAGTGCAGGACAGCATCTCAAGCCAAGGACTTCTTTACCAAATACAGCCTTTCATCGTGAACTTTAACCTAGCACACTTTCTACCCGCACTGGACCAGCCATTTTCTCACAAATTGCATTTCTGCGTACCAAACAACTATCATAAAAAATGCGCATGTATGGTGCCCTATATGCACAATACATTCCATTTAAAGCACTGGGCTTGTTCTTCAACCTGAAGAGGAAAAACAAGAAAATACTTAATAGCTCACATATTTGAAATAGACACACACACACACACACACACACACATACACACACATGACCTGTGCTTCCTGACAGTATGGCGCCCACAGTCAGCATCTCCTAAGGAAAATAAGATCCTTGGTTGTGCAGGGGATTTCCCTTCAGGCTGTCAGGCTCTGACGCCATGCATGTGGATCATCTCACCCCTCATCCTTCCCCCCATGTCCACCCACCCCAACTCTCATGGTCTCTGTTTCCATTTTCACAGATGGATGTTGACTCTTAGGATGGCGCCGTCCTGAGCTTCTGTGTTACTCCGGAAACTGAGACCTGAGGACCTGGGTTCAAAGTCACCCAGCAGGAGAGGCCATGAGACTTTTACATCTAATGAAATCAAGCCAAGAAGCCAGAAGTGGTGCTGTGGCTCAAGTGGTAGAGCGCTAGCCTTGAGCTGAAGAGCTGAGGGGCAGTGCCCAGGCCCAGAGTTCAGGCCCCACGACCAGACCCCCCCAAAATGGATTTAAAACAATAAGAGAAAAAATAGACACTTACCAAATAGAAGAAGCAACACTCTGATCCACTGTCATACTGTATTTGCTATCTTGTCTAGGAGATGCTCCAAGCCAATAGCTGTATAATTGCCGGGACTTTACAAACTCCTAAGAAAGAGAGATGCTCTGTGCACAGTTTTCTCTGGCTGGTACCAGTGACTCACACCTGTAATTCTAGCTGCTCTGGAATCTGAGATCTGAGCATCTCGATTCAAAGCTAGCCAGGGTGGGAAATCCATGAGACTCTTTTTTTTTTTTTTTTTGGTCCGTTGCACGGCTTGAACTCTAGGCCTGGGCGCTGTCCCTCAACTCCTGAGCTCAAAGTGAGTGCTCTACCACTTGAGCCACAGCGCCACTTTTGGTTTTCTAGTGGTTTATTGGAGATAAAATTCTCACGGTCTTTCCTGCCCGGGCTAGCTTTGAACCGCGATCCTCAGCCTCAGCCTCCCGAGTAGCTGGGATGACAGGCGTGAGCCACCGGCGCCCAGCCCATGAGACTCTTATCTCTGGGAACCACCAAAAACCACACCAAACCAGAAGTGGAGCTGTGGCTCAAGCTGCGGAGTGTGATCATGGAGGGAAAAAGCTCAGGACCTTGCCCAACCCTGAATTCAGGCCCCAGGACTGGCACAAATATAATTATTTGTGAACATATGACTGCATTTCAAATTATTGTTTTCAAACATTGCTTTCAAAGAAGGAAGAAAGGAAGGAAGAAAGGAAGGAACGAAGGAAGAAAGGAAGGAAGGAAAGTAGGGTGGGAGGGAGAAAGGGAGGGAGGAAGAAAGGTAGGGAGGGAGGAAGGAAGGAAGGAAGGGAAGGAGGAAGGGAGAGAGGAAGAGAAAGTGGAAAGAAGGAAAGAGAAGGATAAAAGGAAAGTAAGTACAGGAAAGCAAAGCAATGCACTGAAGCCAGAACAGGTCATTATGTAAGCCATAGATCTCATATTTTGTTCTCATTTCTCACTGAACTATATTTTGTGGAGTCAGTAACTGTCAGTGAAGCAGGTGAGCAAGATCCAATGAGAAAGATACAACACATGATTTCCCTTCTTCTAGAAAGGATGAAAGAACTATTCACTCCTGGATCTTGAACTCAGGGCCTGGGCGCTGTCCCTGAGCTTCTTTTTCTCAAGGCTGGTGCTCTACCACGTGAGCCACAGCGCCATCTCCAGTTTTCTGGTGGTTCATTGGGAATCAGAGTCTCATGGACTTTCTGCACAGGATGCTCTGAATCTCAGTCCTTGGATCTCAGCCTCCTGGGTAGATGGATGACAGGCATGAGCCACAGTGCTTAGCAGACTCTTCTTACTCTGTCATAGGAAATGCGATTTCCTTTCTTACGGGAGGAGAGACTGGGAGACGTACCAGTGCATCCTTGTTGTTAATCTTCAGCAGGCTGGCATTGCGGTCAGCACAGAACTGTTCACTCTTTTGCCACGTGGTGTAATTATGATGTAGAAGATAACATCTATTTGCGTGCCATTTCCAATCCTGTGGACAAGGTTTACATTTGTGCCCTGGAAGGAAAGCGTCCTTTTATGTGAATAGATCTTCAGCCTCTTGCTATTTCCTGTCATCTCTATGGTACATTGACCAAGTTCACTGTGTTTTCTTCGGGTCATTATTTTATCTTATTTTGTGCAGTTCTGGGGCTTGAACTCAGGATCTCCTGCTCTTCCTTAGCTTTTCACTCAAAGCTGATCCTCTACCATTGGAGCCTCAACTCCACTTCTGGCTTTTTGCTGGTTCACTGGAGAGAAGAGTTTCACAGACTTTCCTGCATGGGTTGGCTTTGAACCAGGATCCTCAGAACTCGACCTCTTCAGTAGCCAGGATGACAGGCGTGAGCCACCAGTGCCCGGCTTCTACTGACTGAAATTCTGAACTGAGACCATCTGTAGAGAAGTGTGTTTTCCTATCTATCATTCACTGAGCTTCATAATAAATTGAAATTTTGCATAGCCTTGAAAATAACAATACAAAAATTTAAAAGGTAAATTCAGATGAGAGAAATTGTATATTTATACTTCAGTAAAACTGTAGTTTAAAGAAAACACATTTAGTCCGAATGCTCTTGTATAACCAGGACACCTGGGGGATTCCATGTTGTGTCGTTATGATTTTCTGATTTTCTTCTAACTATGTGGAACTGTCAATGCATGGACTATGCTTCATTCCTTTCTTACTCAGTGGTTCTAGCTGGGCAGGAAAATCCATGAGACTCGTGTCCTATATTATGAAGCGAAAGCCAGACATGGTGCTGTGGCTCAACTGATTAAGCTCCATGAAGCCAAGAGCAAAAGTGCTAAGGGACACAGCCCAGGCCCTGAGAATAAATCCCAGCACCAACCCTCCCCCTATTCCTCTCCCCCCACTGACAGACAGACAGACAGACACACACACACAAACACACATGCACGCATGCTGCAGCTTTACTTCATTAGCAGCCCTCAGGATATTACAGAATTACCTCGCTCCTTTTCCTGTAGCTTACGACACAGCCTGGTGGCCATGGTTTGCAATGCGATACCGAGGTGCTGGATCTTCTCATTGAGGTTCTGGATCTTCTCAGAACTGTTGACATTCCCCATTTGGTGTAGGGACACGTTTCTCTGAAGTTCTTCTTGGACATTTTGCTGTTTATGAACTCAAATCCAGACAGAGAGAGAGAATTAAAAAAGACACATGAAAACTTCACTGTCATGACCTTAAGAGTTGTTTTGTACAAAGAATACTGAAAACGACAAAAGGGGAGCAGGAGGCATGGCTCACGTGGTAGAACGCCAACTGTGAGACCAACAGCTGAGCAGGAGCGCTAGGCTCTGAGCCAGGGGACAGTGGCTCCGGCCTGTCATCCCAGCTGCTCATGAGGCTTAGATCTGAGGATCACCGTTGGAAGCCAGCCTGGGCAGGAAAGTCCCTGAGACCCTCATCTCCAATGAACCAGCAAAAAGTCAGAAGTGGAGCTGTGGCTCAAGCGGTAGAGCACCAGTCTTGAGTGGGAAGCTCAGGGACATGGCGCAGGTCCTGAGTTCAAGCCCCAGACCCAGTAGCATAGACAAAAGGGTGATACATACTCATGACCCACAAGATTCTCAGTCCAATGAAGAGCAGTAGGAGGAGCAGGAGAGTCAGACCCAAAGCTGTTCTAACCCACACGTGGGAAGGAGGAGCCCGATTCGCTGTGGAACACAAAAGCAACAACGTTCTCTAAACGGTGTTCCCTTCCACTCATCCGTACAAGGCCATTCATTCCTCCATTTCCCCTTTCATTTTCTCCTGCTATACAACCTGTAAAAGAATTTAATGTGTTACCCACTCTGAGACACAAAAAATAAATCCCTGGCCAATCGGCATTGTGCTCATAACATGACCTGGTGAATTGAAACCCTTTGTACAACTCCTGAAAGATCCACGAGTAAAGAAAGCAGCCAGGACTCAGCTGTTCACTCCTTTAATCCCAGCCATTCAGGAGGCTGAGAACTGAGGATCATTGTTCAAAGCCAGCCTGGGCAGGAAAGACCATGAACCTCTTATCTCCAATGAACCACCAGAAAAAACCAGCAGTGGCGCTGTGGCTCACGTGGCAGAGCTCCAGCCTTGAGCTCTGAGCTCAGGGAGAACGCCCAGGCCCTGAGTTGAATACTGAGCCTGACCACAAAGAATGAGGAAGGAAACAAAAGCACCGGAAGCCTGGCGCTCACGTTTCTGTTTCGCTTTGTTGCTTGGCTGGTTTTGTGCCAGAGCTCGGGCTTGAACTCCAGACCCAGTGCCGTCCCCAACAGTTCTGTGCTTAGCGCTAGTCTTCGCCCTCTGGAGTCTCAGCTCTACCTGCAGCCTTCGGGTGGTTCACTGGACACGAGTCTCCCAGACTTTGCTGCCCTAAGTTGGCTGAGAACCATGATCTTGTCATCAGCCACTCCGGAGGCTGAGATCTGAGGATCGTGGCACAGAGCCAGCCGGACAGGAAGGTTCATGAGACTTTGTATTTCCAATGAACCAGCAAAATGGTGGAGATGGAGCTGTGGATCCAGTGGTAGAGCGCCAGCCTCGAGCAAATCTCAAGTGAGAGTTTTAGCGCTTGCGTACAAGCCCCGGTACTGACATGTGTGAGTAACATGAATCCGCGCTGCACAGAACACTGCAGGCGCTAAAATGCCACACCTGTCTGCGTCTCTTTGTCCCTGTGTCTCTGTCTCTGTCCCTCTGTCTGTCTGCCTCTGAGACCCTCTGTCCATCTCTCTTTGGATGTCTCTGTCTGTATGTCTCTCTCTCTCTCCTTCT